GCATTCAGTTCTTTGAAATCTATCATAAGAAATCTATTATAAGATCTATCATAAGAAAACAAGCTAAAATAAGCTAAATTTGCTCCAACATTATTTAGAATTGTGAAAAACATAATCATTTTGAAACTCCGTTTTAAAAGTTATTTTAAAAATTTGCTCCATAGTAGAGAACTGAAAAACCTCTCTGATAGCATATTGCATAGCCATCAAAATGTTTTAAAACACTTGTAGGGCTTCCCTGGTGGCGCAGTGGTTGAGAGTCCACCTGCCGATGCAGGGGACATGGGTTCGTGCCCCGGTCCGGGAAGATCCCACATGCCGTGGAGCGGCTGGGCCCGTGAGCCATGGCCGCTGAGCCTGCGCGTCCGAAGCCTGTGCTCCGCAACGGGAGAGGCCACAACAGTGAGAGGCCCGCGTACCGCAAAAAAAACCCCAAAAAAACAGAAAAAACCCCACTTGTAATAACATAGGACATTATTTATAATAAGGCATTAAATGAAAGGAGGCAGGATACAAAGTTACTTACAGAGCATGAGCCCAACTATTTTTTTAAAAATCTATAGAACTATACTAAAATATTAACAATACCTGTTCCTGGGCAGTGGGAGAATAAAGTAATAATTTTCTTGTTTAAAATTTATATATATTTATAATATTCTATAATAAAAATTTCTATAATAGATGTATTTTGAAAAAGTTGCTAGTAAAATTAATTTCTCAAATTCAAATGTTTTCGTTTTTTTATAAATTTATTTATTTTTGGCTGCATTGGGTCTTCGTTGCTGCGTTCAGGCTTTCTCTAGTTGCTGCGAGCGGGGGCTACTCTTCGTTGCGGTGCGCAGGCTTCTCATTGCGGTGGCTTCTCTTGTTGTGGAGCATGGGCTCTAGGCGCGTGGGCTTCAGTAGTTGTGGAACATGGGCTCAGTAGCTGTGGCTCACGAGCTTAGTTGCTCCACGGCATGTGGTATCTTCCTGGACCAGGGCTCGAACCCGTGTCCCCTGCATTGGCAGGCAGATTCTTAACCACTGCACCACCAGGGAAGTCTAAATGTTTTCTCACTATTATAAAATTATAAAGTTCCTCTCTCATCTCCAGGTGGAAAGTCGGAAGACTTCAAGAGTATTGTCCTTCCTGATACTGGTGGTCTGTAGCCAGATAATTCTGATTTACCCTGACAGAATTTTCTAAGAGTTCCACGTCTCTTTGATCAAATCCCAAGGAGATAAGTTTTTCATTTTCTTGAAAAAAAGGCAAAAAAAGTGTAACCAGTGGTATTTACCATCATGGAGATCAAGAGCCCTAACAATCCTCAGGAAAGACCCACACCCTCTACTAATGGGAGGGCTTCAGTGGAAGACAATCATTTGTTGATTAAAGCTATTAAAAAAGAAGACATTGAGCTGGTCCAGCAATTGCTAAGAAAAGGGGCTGATGTCAATTTCCAGGATGAAGAATGGGGCTGGTCACCTTTGCATAATGCAGTACAAGGCAACGAGGACATTGTGGATCTTCTGCTTAACTATGGTGCTGAGCCTTGTCTGCGGAAGAGGAATGGGGCCACTCCCTTCATAGTTGCTGGCATCGCTGGAAATGTGAAGGTGCTCAAACTTTTACTTCCGAAAGTAGCAGATGTCAATGAGTGCGATGTTCATGGCTTCACAGCTTTCATGGAAGCCTCTGCGTATGGTAGAGTCGAAGCCTTAAGGTTCCTGTATAAGAATGGAGCAAAGGTGAATTTGCATCGAAAGACAAAGCAGGATCAAGAGAAGATTAGGAAAGGAGGGGCCACTGCTCTCATGGATGCTGCTGAAGAAGGGCATGTAGATGTCGTGAGAATCCTCCTTCACGAGATGGGGGCAGATGTCAATGCCCGAGACAATATGGGCAGAAATGCTTTGACCTATGCTCTTCTGAACTCTGATAACGAGAAGGTGAAGGCCATTACTCGCCTTCTGCTGGACTGTAAGGTTGATGTCAATGTGAGGGGGGAAGGAAGGAAGACGCCCCTGATCCTGGCAGTGGAAAAGAAGAACCTGGGTTTGGTGCACATGCTTCTGGAACAAAAACATATAGAGATCAATGACACAGACAATGAGGGCAAAACAGCACTGCATCTTGCTGTCGAACTCAAGCTAAAGGAAATCGCCCAGTTGCTGTGCCACAAAGGAGCCAGAACAGATTGTGGAGACCTTCTTGCCATAGCAAGGCGCAATTATGACCATGACCTTGCAAAGTTTCTTGGCCAGCATGGAGCCATAGAAGATTTTCACCCTCCTGCTCAAGACTGGAAGCCGCAGAGCTCACGTTGGGGGGAAGCCCTGAAACATCTCCACAGGATATACCGCCCTATGATTGGCAAACTTAAGATCTTTATTGATGAAGAATATAAAATTGCTGACACTTCTGAAGGGGGCATCTACCTGGGGTTCTACGAAGACCAAGAGGTAGCTGTGAAGCTATTCTATGAAGGCAGCACACATGGACAAAATGAAGTCTCCTTGTTGCAGAGCAACCGAATCAACAGTAATGTGGTGACATTCTATGGCAGTGAGAACTACAAGGGCTCTCTGTATGTGTGCCTCGCCCTGTGTGAACACACACTGGAGGAGCACTTGGCCGACCACAGAGGGGAAGCTGTGCAAAACAAGGAAGATGAGTTTGCTCGAAATGTCCTCTCATCTCTATTTAAGGCTGTTGAGAAACTACACCTGTCTGGATACACTCACCAGGATCTGCAGCCACAAAACATGTTAATAGGTAAGTCCCCATGTTCTCTTAGAAACGTAGGGTCTTTTGTTACGAGAGGAAACAGAACAGGGAAGAACTAGAGTCAGTGTGGATTGTTCAGTTTGAGGATTAATGTAACAAATCGATAGTTACAGTGCAACCTCTCCTGCTACCAGGTATAACCAGTATTCCACGTGGAGGTCGAGGATGCCAATGGAATAGCAGGCTAACCTTATACTGCCCTTGGCAAATACAAATTTGTACGTCTTGGATGGAGCCAGCTCCAGAAGTTTGAATTCTTAGAGTAGTCTGCAGGTCAGGGAACCTAGAAAGTGTGTTCCTTCAGAGAAGGTGGCAGTTACAGTGAAACTTAATGGCAAAGCTGAGGTTAAAATTGGGATCCAGGTTAAGATGTGACACAGTGAAACATACTGCAAGCAGACCGAACAAGTCAGTGTCCACTGCTGCAAACCAAAACCAAAATAAACTAAAGCAACATTCAAGGACACAAGCAGAGCTGAGGGCTTCTCTGGGTGACGCAGTGGTTAAGAATCCGCCTGCCAATGCAGGGGACATGGGTTTGAGCCCTGGTCCGGGAAGATCCCACATGCCGCAGAGCAACTAATCCTGTGTGCCACAACTACTGAGCCCGCGAGCCACAACTACTGAGCCTGTGAGCCACAACTACGCACCTAGAGCCCATGCTCCACAACAAGAGAAGCCACTGCAATGAGAAGCCTGCACACTGCAACAAAGAGTAGCCCCTGCTCGCTGCAACTAGAGAAAACCTGCAGAGCAACGAAGACCCAATGCAGCCAAACAAACAAACAAACAAAAAAACGAAGCAGAGTAGGGAACAAATGTATGGACCCCAAGGGGGGAAAGTGGGGGAGGCAGTGAGATGAATTGGGAGACTGGGATTGACATATATACACTAATATGTATAAAATAGATAACTAATAAGAACGTGCTGTATGAAAAATAAATAAAATTCAAAACTTCCAAAAAAAAAAAAAAACCAAACAAACAAGCAGAGCTGAGTGTAAAGTCCCAGGGGGCAAGGTGGTACAGTAAAAAGAGCCTTGGCTTCAGCCATATTTAAGGAGCCTTGCAGCCTTGTCCCACCACTTTGTAGCTTTGTAACCTCAAGCAAGTCGCTTAATTCTGTGAGCATTGGTTTCCTCACTTGAGACTGATAATACCTCCTTCATAAGGCTGTTAGGAGGTCTAAGTGCAGTATGTCAAATGGACAAGTCATCTGTACATTGTAAGTGCCCAACAAAGGCCAGGTACTTGTCTAGAGGGCTAAGCAGAAGCAGATACCTAACCTACAGATATGCATTGACATGTAAGCTTGGTGTAAGGGACCGGGGCCGAAAGAAGATGTGGGTACTGAGAATCAGAGAGCGGTACTTAAGGTCCTGGAAGAGAGAAATAGGTAGACGCAAGATCTGGTTTTAGTTTGAGGACAGGTGCTTGTGGCACTCCTTCCTGGTTTTAAGCAACTTCGCTGGGGAGACTGACCAGGGCCAGAAATATGTGCCACTCTACCCAGTAAGGAAAAGTCTTTGAGGTTCAGCCAAAGGTGAGGTCCTTCCCAAGTTTACCTTGATGCAAAAGGGTCACACATCACGTTCTAAAGAAAAATAAGTTGTGACTACCTATTCTTTGACATTTCTAGCACTTCATCCATTCTTAAGCTTGAATGGTAAAGAACTGATTATATTTCTGCCTCAAGGTGGCGAACCGAGCACATACTGCAGACTCTTCCCTGTATTAAATCCCTCAAATGATGGGAAAAGATTTTTAAATGAATTCATAACTGAGATCAACATTAAAAGAAGAATTCCTAGAGGACAAAATCCTTGAAGAATCATGGAGAGACTAAACATAGATAGGATGGGATTGAAGAATAATACAGGAGTCCAGGACAAATGTAGGAAGCCACAGATCAACATTACTCATGAACGTAGGAACAGTGTAGAAAAGTGCCACTCCAAAGTGATGGAAGCCAGAAGCAGGAGAGGACCGAGGACCAGCTAGCAGGCAGATTGCTGTGTCAGTCGACACTAGGAAGATCAAACCCTGGGCTTCCCCTCTTCCCCAGGGACCAAGCATCTATGACAGACCTTTCTTCTACAGACAGGGGGACTGCTTGAGACACTGGGTCATTGGTGATATCAAGAGAAACAAAGAGCAGTTAAACATGCAAGATTTCTGCCAAAGCAGCTACTAAGTGGCATGTCCTGCTTACCCCAGAGCTTCACTGAATAACATGCAAAGCAGAAGCTCTGACGACTGCTTCCATCCCTCCACTATGTTGGGTGGCATTAACAGAAGCAACTCGCAGGACGTCAGGGAGTCTCAACCGCAAAGTAAGGCTTACAGTCGAAAATCACTTAGGATATTTAAGAGGTGCCAATACCGTGAAAGAAAGGCATGAAACAGAAGAATTTACACCCAAAGAAACATAGCTAACCAAATGTGTAAGTTTCCATGGCTGTTAAAAGAAATTGTCACAAACCTGGTGGCTTAAAACAACAGGAATTTAATCTCCCACAGTTCTGGAGGCCAGAAGTATGAAACCAATTCCACTGGCACCAAATCAGGTGTCAGCAGGGCCAAATTCCCTCTCTACACTGTAGTACAGAAACTGGGCGTAAGCATTAAAACTTTTTATAGCACTTTAACAATGTCTGTTGAAACTAAAAATAAAAAATTTGGGCGTGTAAAAAACAAATCAAATGTTAGAAGAGATGTGAGGTATTCCATTAGGTACTTTCCAATTTCAGTAGCAGAAAACTCGACTCCAAGTGGCTTAAATAAGTGAAGGGAATTTATCACTTCAAATAATTGAAAGTGGTCTGTGGTTTATGATCTGCACCCCATCTGCCCCTTCAACCTCATCACAAGCAACTTTCTGACTCTGTCCCTCCTCCCCAAGTGCACACTTGGGCCTTCCTTCTGCCAGAGTGGAATTCTCCACGCATTCCTCTCTGGAATTCTCTCTTCCCTCTGTTCCCCATTCCACTCACCTACCCAAACTCTACTTTCTGATCTCTTCTGTCTAGGCGTCTCTTCCTTTTTTTTTTTTTTTTTTGGCTGCACCATGCGGCATGTGGGATCTTATTTCCTCGACTAGAGACTGATCCCCTGCCCCCTGCAGTGGAAGTTTGGAGTCCTAACCACTGAACCAGCAGGGGATTCCCTAGGCGTCTCTTCCTTAAGGAAAACTTCTCCACCCTCCCCACACACCCCTCCCACCCCAGCCATGTAGCTCTTCTTGTGATACACTTTTAGGGCATCCTGCACTTTTGGCTAGCATTTTCAAAATTGCAATTAATTTAATGTTTATTCTCCTTAAGTA